CCATGACATCAGGAAGGTGATGCCATGACTTGCAAGTGAAATGGATTTAAGTGAGAGAAGGCTGTGCAAAGTTACCCAGCCTCTCTCTCTCTCCTCCGCAGCCCTCTGGCTCCAGCGGCAAGATCAGGATGACTGGAAATGGCCCTGGATGCAGTGGGAGACCTTGGCCTTTTTAAGTTAAGGTCTTTCTCAGAACTCTGATTGAGGCAACACCCATTCAGTGATTAAGAGATATATATCAGCCTTATCTATCGTAATCCTAATATATATTAGGATTCAACAAGTTAAAGTGTATTTTAACTATGAATAACAGGAGGCTTATTCAAGCGCTCAAACATTAATATAATTCTTCCAATCCAGAAAACTGGGTCTAAATGCAGCAATGCAAGAGAATGTCAAAACTGCAAGCTGGTGGAAAAAAGTTGTCAACGGATTTTAAGTCTTTAAAGCCCACAGCTATTATATTTCTCTCAATTAAAAGTTATATGTCAGCTGGAAGTCTGAAGCAACAACTCTGCATTAGCATGAGAGCTGAAAGCTTTTGCCACTACAAAATAATAAAGTAATATGCGTCACTGACTAACACTTTGATGTTAACTTCTGTTGCTAAGCTTTTGGGAAAGCAAAACTCCCTAGCATAGACATTAAGTAAAATGTTAGTTATCTGTTTTAATGATCCAAGAAACACTGTGATTCAGCAAAAAAGTTAACATAAGGCAGATGTTATCAGCTTCAGAAGAACAGAAGTTTTATAAAGCAATGGCACATGCTTGTATTCTTATAAAAACCAAACTGTAGCTTTTTGACGCATACTGTAGAAACCTGAATCTTTATTTTGGGCTTTTGCCTGGCTCACAAAGGTAGTAGATGTAACAGCAGCTGCCCTAAAAGAAAATAGAGCTCTAAAGTCTTTTCACCTTGTTCTCAGGGGCACATTTCAAAGGGGAGGCCATCATTACCCTGCACAGAAGGCTCCTGTCCCAGAAAAGCTCTTACTCAAGTACATCACTGTCAATATTTTTACCACACTAACCCTTCTGACAAAAGATGGTCTCTCAGCATCAAAGTATTTTATAAAAGTGGAGAATTTCTCCTTCATGTACTTGCAGATAGCTTTTGATAAAAGATCCACTTCGACCATTACTATGATTCTAATGAGAGATAAGCTGGTAGATTAGTGCCTCCATTTTAAAGACGGGTTCTTCATTATCTTTAATTTTTAAAAAGCACAGTAAATCTTTAGCTAAATATCTGACCTAGCTAAAAATCACTAGGATTGCTAGACAGAGATGCTTTTGTAGTCTGAAGTACTTCCTTGAGATTTTCTCCAAGACTGATGAAAGACTAAATTTAAAAACTAGAGGGAGAGGGAGCTGGTGGTAGTAGATTGTTTAAAGGTAACTTGTTCTGCTATTTCCAAATCCTCCTTACTGAGAAAATGGAAAAGGGAACAACAACAAAAGTAAATGCATGAAGTCTAGTCATGCTAAGAACACAAGTAAAACCACTGAACTAACAGTACAGCAGGATATTTCACTTATGGAATGAGAAAAAGACCTCCTGACTTTCTAAACATTACACGAAGATAGATTAAAAGTCAGTAGAGAAGTACTTCAACAAATATTTAGATCCCAAACACTTCAATTTTCAGGGTTTTTTGTTTTTGTTTTTTTTACAAAGCACTTTGGCAAGTCATACACATGAAAAAACATCACATCTCCCCTTCTTGGAAGCTTGTCTTATCTTCTTTGTGGGGTTGTGGTGGGAATCAAATGAAGTAACAGGTATGAAAGCACTCTGAAAAGTTTAAAATATACCTTGAGGTAGGAGCAAGAATGTTAGACCAGGTGACATTTAAGGTTCCTTCCAACTCAAAGATTCTTGATTATAACAGCACATTAAAACTTAAGGTCTAGAAAGTTAAAAAAAATTCTTCACATAACTCCAACATTTGCTTTATTTCAGAGTAGGTAAAATATTAACAGTGGTTACCCACAACAAATTCTTATGGTTACAAAGGGCAAAGGGAGACTCATCCACATTGTAGAACAGAGTTCTGACAACAGCGAGCCTAGCACATGTGAGTTTGGATTCATACTTAGGAAAAGCAGAATGGAGAAAAACGTTTATCTCTGAAGTCATGCATACAGCTCCTTTTATTGTACTTGGAAATATTTACCCCTAGATTTTCACTTAGCGTACCTCAGATTTACAGCTGAATGGAGGTTTGGAGGATTACTGCTCCACTGTCTTCATTTTAAAGATGTGGAAACTGAGCCCAGAGAGGTTAAGTGATTTGCCTAAGCTCATAAAGGCAGTATGTATAGCACAGCTAGAATTAGAGTCCTTTGACTCTAAACTCAACTTTCTTTTCAGATTACTCCCCCACCTCCATTATATGTTGATGCTTCATTAATTCTAAAGAACATATCTGAGTAATAAATGATCTAATACATCCAGGGAAACCTACCATATAAACTCAGTGCTATGTTAAAACAGTTAGTGAAGCTAGGCAACTGCAGAAAATACTATTTTGCAATAGTCAATTAGCCCGGATTATACAGACAACATAAGGCTTGCCTACTTTGGTTATATGATTTTTCAAGGCAAATTAGTTTGGAAAAAAACTATCCCAAAGAACAGACGTATATTGTTTTCTCTAACTCCAGAAAGCTTACGAGTCATTAAGCACATATTCCTTGAAGAGGAAGTTTAGTGTTCTAATGTCCTTCATTAATCTCATTTGGAATTTAAAGGGCAAATTAACTCTCAGCCCTTTAAGCTGTAAAATGTGCCTACTCATAGTAATGTTAAAAATTATCTATACTTTAAAAGAATCAGGCCCATGATTTCATTGATATAAGAAACTCCCTCTATTATAAAGAATAAGCACCTGCTCTACAATCTAGTCTTAGACAGTTGCTTGGGACGTTGAGAGGTTAAATGACTTGCTTAGGGTCTAAAAACTAGTATATTTTTGACCCGGGCCTAAACCCAGGTCTTCTTGACTCTGAAGCTGGCTGTTTTCTAGCCACTCACTGTGCCACACTGCCACTGTATATTTTATTTCATAAAAAATACTAACTATGAAGACCGTATAAGTGAAATTGGCTTAGATCTTTGGAGAATGTTTATATGGGTGTGGAAAAGTCTGTGTTGGTTTCAAACTATCATTAAATTTTAAGATCATTTCTACAAATAAAAGCAAGATACCTGCTTAAGGTTAAACTAAATGTGGGAATTGATAATAGTTTAAACAAGGACTTATTTAAAATGTCGAAAAGCAATATAGTTCAAGCATGCAAGAATTCCTGGGATCTGTTCAATATGCTAAAAAATGAGCAAGTGGACCCTATGTGTAAGCAGATCAGAAAGTATTTATTTTGGGATTAACTGAAGCAGAACTGCCAACAGAGAAATCCGCCTCAGGCAAGCTCTGGTACTGGGGCGCAGAGGAGCTTTTGGAGGACAAGTAATAGGTAGGGTGGTACGTACTTCGGCATTACAATTCGGCAAGGGTAAATTACGCATAAAAAAATGTTCAATTGTTTAACGCCTCCAAATAAGCAGCAACCAGGTGACTTCGGATAGATAAGTCTCGGCAACCTCCCTAATCCATTCCGATCATCCTCACCCGGGTTTAGCTAGTCACACACTCGGACTCAGCCAGATAAACCAAGAAAGTAGTGCACAATTGAGAAGCTGGGGCAGCAAGCAGCAGCATCCCAGCCTGTAGCCACGGACCTAGTTTATACCGCAGAAAAGGGGAGGGGCGGGAAAGAGAAAATCATCTCTGGGCTAGGACACTGGCCGAGAAGGAGCCAGGCAGCACACCTGCTCAGAAATGGGCTTCTCCCGACCTATCACCTTTTTTCTTCTCCAACCCCACCACCTCCTTTCTTCTCCAGTTCCACCACCTCCTTTCTTCCTTGGTCCCACCCCCCCCTTCCTCCTTGGTTCCACCACCTCCTTTCTTCTCCAGTCCCACCACCTCCTTTCCTTCTCCAGTCCTACCACCTCCTTTCTTCCTTGGTCCCACCACCTCCCTTCCTCCTTGGTCCCACCACCTCCCTTCCTCCTTGGTCCCACCACCTCCTTTCTTCCTTGGTCCCACCACCTCCTTTCTTCTCCAGTCCCACCACCTCCTTTCTTCCCTAGTCCCACCCCCCCTTCCTCCTTGGTTCCACCACCTCCTTTCTTCTCCAGTCCCACCACCTCCTTTCTTCCCTAGTCCCACCACCTCCTTTCTTCCTTGGTCCCACCACGTCCTTTCCTCCCTAGTCCCACCACCTCCTTTCTTCCTTGGTCCCACCACCACCCTTCTTCCTCAGTACCACCCAATGCAGCGGCTCCTCATCCTCCAGTGTCCGCCAAGCAATTACACTGAGCCGGGCTAAGGCTTGTCCCCGAGCGTCCAGAGGACGATGTGCCCACCCTCCTGGAGGAATGGGGGGGGTGGCCCCTCACCTTGCTGCAGGTCTTGCTGGTCGTACCACGGCTCGTCCTCCTTCATCTCAAACTCCTCCACCAGGTTTTCCGCCAACATCGCGGCGGGGTATCAGAGAGGCAGCCTCGCTCCCGCCGCCGCCCCGGCCGCTACCCCTGGGCTCTCCTCAGCCTGGGTCTTTGCCGACGCCCACCCAGCCTCGGAGCCCTGACAACAAGCGGGCTCCGGCGCCGCTCCGATTCACCAGCCGGCAGCCAACGTCCACAGCCCGGGTGCCCGCGCCCCCGCGGCAGCCCTGGGCTGGCTCTCCCCGGCCCGCGGCCCCAAACGTGGCACTTTCCAAAAGTAGCCCTCCCCAACCGGGGAGCGATTCAAAACCCAGGCCGCGCTCCCACCAATCCCAGGCCGCCGCCCTGACGAGGGGCGGGTGCTCTCGCCAATCACGCCCTTCGGGTAGATCTGATTCGTCTCGGCTTCCGGGGAACAGACCAATGGAGACCCTAAAGAGGACCAAAGAGGCGGAGAAAGAAGAAAGGAGCGCTGAAAAGCTAGTCCAACCACGCCTCGCGCCCTGAAATGGAGAGCGAGGCGCACGCGCAGTTCGCGTCTCTCCACCCGGCTTAGCTCCCCGGGGCACACCCGGCTGCGGTGCGGGAGGGAGCCTGCGCAGCGGCGGAGGAAACGAAGAAGGAGAACGGGGTGCGTATTAGTGACCGAGGCTGGTGCTGGGCAGAGGCCGAGGCCAGGAGCGCGGGGTTCCAGGCGGCAGAGGGTATGAGAGGTTCCGTTCAGTGCGGGGTGCGGTGACTCGCGGGGAGACTGTCACCTCAGGTGCATTGACGTCACCTTGGGGTGAGGATGAGGGGCGTGTGGCATGAGCTGGTGTGCACAGAGAGCTGTCTCTGGAGTCGGAGGATCCGTCCATGTAACATTACACAAGACATTTCACTTGTCTGGTCCTCAGTTTCCTCAGTTATAAGTGATGGAGTTGGGGTAGGTGGACCCTGAAGTACATTCCAGCCGGTTCTATAATTGCATGAGGCTGAGGTGAGGAATGTGCAGCAGAAGGGACTTGGGGTGAGGGGTGGGCAGTATGGGGAAGGGGGAGGGGGATAAAGAGTGTGCAGTGTGGGGAAGGGGGAGGGAAATGAGGGTGTACAGTGTGGGCAAGGGGGAGAGAAATGAGGGTGTGCACTATGGGAAGGGGGAGGAAGGTGAGAGATGTATTCTATGGGGAGTAAGGTGATAGAGGTCCAGCATAAGGAGTGGAATAGGGAGTGAAGGGATGAATATTCAGCATAAACCGGCGAGTTGGTTTGATATGGTGGAATCAGGTTTGATATGAAGGATCTAGGTCAGGGGTGGGGAACCTGAGACCCTGAGGCCACATGTGGCCCTCTAGGTCATCATGTGCGGCCCTTTGACTGAATCCAAACTTCACAGAACAAATCACCTTCTGGCCTCGAGGCCACATGTAGCCTCAAGGCCGAAGGTTCCCCACTCCTGATTCTAGGTTCTCATCCAGTCTCTGAAACCACCTCTGTGACCTTGGACAAGTCACTTCACTCTCTGGGCCTCAGTTTCCTCAACTGTCAAATGAAGAGGTTAGATTAGATGGCCTCTGAGGTCCCTTCCACCTGTAGATATGATTCCTATGAGGATGAAGAGAGGTATGTATACCGTAAAGGACTGCGGGGGGGGGGGAAGAAGGGGAAGGTGATGTGTTGACTGACTGAATGATGGATAGTATAAGTGGAGAGAGGGGAAGGAGCTAAGAGCCACCTGGTGCACTGAGATCAGGTTTCCTTGGGGAGAAGACTGTCTTTGCAGTTCCAATCACCTGTTCCTATGGACTTTGAGAGGTGGAGCTGCTATTGAATTCCCGCTTGTCAAAACTCAGATCATTAGGGTATAGAGCTGGAAGGGACCTTGGAAGTCACCTAGTCCAATGTTCTCATTTTACACATTAGGAAACTGAGGTCCATCACTTTTCACAAAGCCACTACTTTTCCCCTACTGTCTCAGACTTGAGGGTTTGGCAGAATCCACCCTTCACTCATCCTCAGCCAGTAGGGAGTAAGCTGGTCATGACCAAATATTAATGATACCATTAAGGGTCTATGTAACATGTATTACGGGATCTTTATCTGCCTTTGGTATAGACAGAGTGGTTTAAAGGGGTGCTGAAAAAAGCCTATTCCACTGAATAAGGCTATTGCACCTGAAAGTTTTACTATTAAAGCTTCATTAGCCCATTTAAGGAAAAATGAAGAAGCTACTAGGAGTACATTAAATTTTAAGCTCATTAGTTATTCACACTTTAATCTGTATATGTTTATATATCCTCTCTTTTCTGAGAGGATTTTGGTAGAAATATAAAAGCACCTTAGCTAAAGGAGAAAGTCTTCCGTTGGGTAAAAAACTTTTTCTACTTAATGATTTTTACATGTCATTACATTTTAAATGTAATGTAAATGTAACTTAAATGTAAAGTAATGTGAATGTAAAATGTACTGAATGAGTAGCTCAGTGGACCCTCTCTAAACCTGGAGAACCATTTACAACCTTTCTAAACTCACCTATAGGATTTATAGTTTAAAGCAGGGGTGGGGTACCTGCACACATTTGACCTTCTAGGTCCTTGAGTATGGTGTTTTGACTGAGCCCAGGTTTTACAGAACAAATCCTTTTATTAAGGGATTTGTTCTGTGAAGTTTGGATTCAGTCAGAAGGTCTCACTTGAGGAACTAGAGGGCCACATGTGGCCTCCAGGCCACAGGTTCCCCACCCCTGGTTTAAAAGGACCTAGAGATCCTCTAATCCAGGAGTTCTTAACCTTTTTTGAATTCTGGACCCCTTTTGACAGTGGTGAAGCCTATGGAACCCTTCTCAGAATAATGTTTTTAAGTGCATAAAATTAAAATACATAGGATTACCAAGGAAACCAATTTTATTGAAATTGTTGCTGTTGTTCAGTTTGTGTCCAACTCTTTGTGACCCTATTTGGGGATTTTCTTGGCAAAGATACTAGAGTGGTTTGCCACATCCTTCTCCAGGTCATTTTATAAATGAGGAAATTGAAGCAAACGGTTAAGTGACTGGCCCAGGGTCACACAGCTAGTAAGTATCTGAGGCCGGTTTTTGAGCTCAGGTCTTCGTGATATTGAAATATAGTTATTAAGTATTAAAGAAGCAAACTCATGGACCCTAGATTAAGGACCTCTGAAGTCCAACACCCCTCAGCTCCCCACCTCCTTCCCCATTATACAGAGGAGAAAACTAAGGGCTCAAAAGATAGTTACTCTCTCAAGCTTACAAGCTAAGTAGCAAAGCCAGGCTTATATTGGCCATTAAACAGATTGTTGCCAGTGGATTGTAATACATGTATAGGGGGATAAATGTAACTAATTCAAGCAAATTTCTTGTAGCCTAAATCCTATGATGTTAGTCATACTTGGGTATATGTAAAGATGTTAATGTGACATAACACACACAATAGCTCCCAGATAACATTACCATTACTGTAGATTTCTAAAGAATTGTCCCATCCCCACCCCTCCATTCATATTGGATGGTTTTCACTTGGTCCTGAAGTCAAATATATTGTATTTTCTAGTTAACACATTTGAGCCTCTGCTAGAAGTTTGGAAAGTAATGGTAATATTGGAATGCCAGAGATCATGGAGATAATTGAAATCCACAAATTTATTTTAGCTACCACATGCCTCCCTCTTAAATTTTTACCTTTTACCAGAGCAGAGCAGCTAAAATAAAAATTTGCTGATATATTTCACATATTCCTTCCCCCCTCTAGCAAAGAAGGTCTGATGAAGGTGCTGATAACCAGTGAAACATTCTACTCAAAACCTGAAGTGTTCCCAGGGCCCAATTTAGGCATTGACAAAGTAGGTTATTTTTCAGGGGTACCGAGTAGGCCTATCACCTTTAGCCAAATTCTTCTCCTATCTTTTATTATTGCTTGAAATTTTACTGTTAAACCTCATGTGTGGCTAAGCTGATTCAGAAATTCCTTCAAGTCTTCAAAGATCTAGAAGGAAAAAGCAAATCCTGGACATTATGAGCTCCACCAATAGTAAATGTTTTTTCAGACTAAATAGTACATTTTTCTTCTCATATTTATTAAAAACATAAACTTCTATTTTAAAAGAAGAATAGCAAATTACCTGCCTCTGAGTACTGACATTATGGAAGAAAAAAATTTACTGATTTTCCAGTTTTTATTGCCTTGGTAAAGGGTCTATCTCTGTTGTGCAAACATGGCCAAAAATGAAAAAGGCGCTTTAAATTTAAAAATAGATGACCACAGAAACCCTTTGAAGCAGAGATGACTGGATTTATAATGTGTTAATTATGGTTTACGGAAATTGAAGGAGCATTAAGGTATCAAGGACTTAGAAGTTCACCTTCTGTACCTTTTGGTCTTAGGACTCCTTTACACTTTTGAAAACTGTTGAGGACCCTTTATACTTTTAATTTTTTTTTTTTGGCTAGGCAGTGGGGTTAAGTGACTTGCGCAGGGTCACACAGCTAGTAAGTATCAAGTGTCTGAGGCCAGATTTGAACTCAGGTCCTCCTGACTCTAGGGCCAGCTGCCCTTCCCTTTATACTTTTAAAAGGAACAGCTAGGTGGTACAAGGGATAGAACACTGGGCTTGTAATCAGGAAGATTCATCTTCATAAGTTCAAATCTGATCTCAGACACTTAGTAGCTATGTGATCCTGGTCAAGTCACTTAATTCTGTTTGCCTCAGTTTCCTCATCTGTAAAATGAGCCAGAGAAAGATATAGCAAATCACTCCAGTATCTTTGCCAAGAAAACCCCAAATGGGGTCATGAAGAGTCAGACAAGACTGGAACAATTGAGTAACGACAAAATTTTTGTTAGTTTAGCTTCTTTGCTAACATTTTATTTGAAATTTTTACATAAGTATTCATTAGGAATGTTGGTCTATAGTTTCTTTCTTTGTTTCAGTTCTCCCTAGTTTAGATAGCAAGACCATGTTGGTATCATTGAAAACAGTTGGTAGGATTCTTTCTTTTGCTATTTTTGCAAACATTTTGTGTGCCACTGGAATTAATTGTTCTTTGAATATCTGATATATTGTGAATCCTGGTCTTGGTTCTTTTTTCCTTAAGAGTTCATTTATGACTTGTTTGATGTCTTTTTCTGAGATTAGGTTATTTTAGTTCTCTGTTTCTTAGTCCATTAATCTGGATATTTTATATTTTTGCAAATATTTATCTTTTCATTTATCAGTTTTATTGGCAACATAATTGGGCAAAATAGTTTCTAATAACTTTTTATTTTTTCTTCATTTGCAGTGAATTCTCCTTTTTCAGTTGTGAAAGTAGTAATTTGATTTTCCTCTTGATTTTTCATCAGATTTGTTAATTTTATTTGTTTGTTTGTTTTGCTAGGCAATGGAGTTAAATGACTTGCCAAGGGTCACACAGCTAGTAAGTGTCAGGTGTCTGGGGTCAAATTTGAAATCAGGTCCTCCTGACTCCGTGGCCAGTGCTCCATCTACCTGCCCACTGTTAATTATTTATATGTTAATTCAGTGGTGTTCTTGCTTTCAATTTTGTTAATGTCTTCTTTGATTTTTAGGATGTCTATTTTGCTTCTTAATTGAGGTTTTAAAACTTACTGCTTTTCTAGAGTGTTTTTTAGTTGCATGCTCAATTCATTAATCTGTTCTTTCTCTTTTGTTAATGAAAGAGTTTGTAGACATCAGTTTTCCCCTAAGGACTGCTTTGGTTGTATCCTCAAAACTTTGGTATAATGTCTCATTATTGTCATTATCTTTAATGAAATGATCTATTATTTCTATTTTTTTCTTTGACCCAGCCATAATTTAAGATTAAGTTAGATCCAGTTAATTTTTTATCCTTTCTTCAATGGCCTTTTATTGAATATTATTGTTATTATATTGTGGTCAGTAAAGGATCTATTTACTATTACTGCTTTTCTGCATTTGTTTGTGAGGTTTTGTATGTACTAATACAGCAGTTCTCAAACTTTTTGATCTCAAGACTCCTCTCTACTCTTAACAATTTTCAAGGACCCCTTCCTAGAGAGCTTTTGCTTATGTGAATTATTCTACCAATATTTCTTATATTAGAAACTGACTGATTAGTAAATATTACTATAAAAATAGTTTTGGCTTCACAGACACCCCCCCCAAAAGGATCTCAGAGCTCCCCCAAGGTCTCCTTACCACACTTTAAATATCCTCTAATACATGATCAGATTTTATAAAAGTGCTGTGCACATGTGAGAAATATGTATCCTTTCTATTCCCATTCAATAACCATCAGAGATCTATGATATCTATCTATATCTATCTCTCTATCTATCTGTCTATCTATATCTCCACCTTTACTAAGATTCTGCTTAGGTCCTTAACTTCTTTCTTGTTTATTTTATCATTAGATTTGTCTAATGTTTTGAACCTCAAAAGAATGAGTTTACCACTCTTTGCCTAATGTTAAAGGTACTATGACTTCTGAGTCAGAATTAGTAGAGTAGAGTAGGGCATGCTTCATAAATCATCATGCCTAATATAAAGCCAAGAAGAAAAAAAAACAGTGCCTCTTTTAAAGTTTAGTCCTTGATGACTTGAATCTACTTTGTAAGTTCTAGCTTCCT